TCTAGGAATTTGTTTGAAACTTGCAAAAAAAACAACAAAAGAAAGAAAAATGTAAAAGAAACCTATTATTTGAAAAAAAAAAGCTTCTTTATTGTTTGGGAATAAGAATTAAAAAGATATTTTAGTATACATGTATTTGTTTCAAATTTGGAATTCGTGAGGAGAAATCACGAATCAACCCTTATCCATCGCGAAAAGAATTTATTTTTATTCTGTACAAACGACCTTCTTTTTGATGAATAAGCCATATAAACTATATGTTCTAAGTCTGGTCTTCAATTTTGTAAACGGAAATCACGAATCAGCCTCCCGCCATTGTGTCTAGTATAGTTGATACCCGTTTTTTTTTCTATCAACAAACAAGTAATTATTTCCTGAAAGATGTGACCACAGTTTGTTGTATTCTGTAATATATTCATCATTGTCCTATTTTGGAACGGCCATTGTTAGCGTCTTACCTATATGTAAATACGTTTCATAATTATATTTTTTTTCCTAGAAAAATATAAGTCAAGATTTTTTGTTGTTGTTGCTGATCTGTTTGTACAAAGTAAAGCAAAAGAGTACAAAGAGGCTCAAAAGATCAAACAAGGCTAATAACATCTTCGTTTCAATAACACTGGCGATTGCCGAAAGGACTTTTATTGAGAAAACTCATTCAAGCGAAGTCTACCTTATAATTCAAGTCAAATAAGTCTCCTTAATCAAAGTGCCCCGACTATTGTTCGGAGATAAGACTAAACGGATTATTGACGGAACGGGAAACCCTCTTTTCAGCAATTTATGCAAAAATCCACTCTCTGCGCCATGACACCGGAAATGCCATGTCGAAACCTCGCGCTGCTAGGACAGTGTTTTAACACGACTTGTACGATTTCCGGTTTATTAGAAAGCCGTCTTTTATTGTTTCCGAAATAACGGAACTTAGATTGTCAGATGATATCGGCTCAGTTTATTGAGAAATAAATCTTCGATACAAACACAGAGAATATGATAAGAGGGTTTTTGGTGAATGAGAGCGGCTGTAGTTTACAAACGACGGTTAATAATCTTCAACGCTGAAGAGTATCATGCGGGTCAATTGGGATTAGATATGAACACAATGGTCGTCAAGTTCATCAAACAGCCGTTATTAATCCTTTCGATATTGGAAACTAATTTTATAAGATTAATAATTTGTAGTTAACAAAATAATTGGTTTAAAGGGAGATAATGCTACTTGAGCTTATTACATATGCACGTGATCTCTTGTGACGTATTGATTTCAGAAAAAGACAAAACCATTGAACTTTGATGAGTTTAAAACGGAAAGAACAATGCCAAATATCGAAAACCGAAGACCTGAAATTGCGCTTTGTTAAAATGTTTGAAAGTTAACTTTATTATTGAGAACAGTTTTATTAAAAGAGAAAAAAAGAGTGATATCAAAATTGTTCAACCAAAGCTCAAAATGTCAGGTCGTTCATATCATTCTCAAGAAGTCAAAAGTATCTACTCGTTTACATAAAGACTTTTTGGGGGTTTTTTCCCTTTGGAAAGTACAGAAAAAAATCAATGACTACAGGGTGGAAGAATTGTTATGATTTTTTTTTTTAATCTCCGAGAGAGAGGGAGAGTAGGCAACTTTGGAACTCTCTCTCTCTCTCTCTCTCTCTCTGTGTCTTTCTCTCCCTCTTTCCATTGTTTTTTAAAAAACTTAATCTGTACCAACAATAAGAGTCAGTAAAACACTGTCACTGACCATGGTAACACAGCCAGTAAGACACTGGTACTGACGAGGAAGTTCCGGATTCGATTCCGCTATTGGCCAATTTTCCAGCGTTGATTCCCTTAATTGTCAGTTTATATACGAAGGCAAGAAACATCGTCTAGTGATTCGAATGGCACGAAAAACCAAGGCTCAGCCATAAAAGGATCCTTAGCATTTGAATTCGTGGAAGAAGTAGACTTAAACAACGCGGCCTGGCCACGGCACAATTTCGAGCGATGTTTCCCTTAATTGTCAGTAGTATAAGAAGCCATGGAAAACGTCTAGTCATTCGAATGTTGCGAAAAACTGAGGCCCAGTCATAAAAGGATCCTTAGCCTTTGAATTCGTGGAAGAATAGACTTAAAGTACATTCAATTAAGATTTTTAATCTTATGTGGTCTTTTAATACTCGGCCGGGCACAATTTCACTCATAGTACACTGCATGGCGCATCCCCGTCTTTATAAACTGGTTGGTACAGATAAATAGGACGTTAAACCCAATTTCATTTCGTTTTCTTAACCTTTATTTAATTCTGTTTTAATGCATTAACTATTTTTAGCTGAATAATTTTATTTTTTTTCAATCCTTACATAAAAAGTATTATTGTGACATCATCAAATACGACATCTGCTATTTTTCCGATTTATGACATGCCTTATTGCTCTCTTAATTGAAATAATCCTAATATTTTTTCTCCTAATTTAAGCTGAGAAATCTTTTTACGTGGACGAAATAGTGTTTAAACGGGCGAAAGAAAAGCGATAAAATCAAATTAAATGAACTATAATTGTTTGTTTGGTAACAAATAAATGGACGAAATGTCGAGCATTCACAATATCAAAATCGATACCATTTTCATTCTAAATGCCAGAAAACTCCAGAAGTTTAAAAAGAGAATCGGAAATGGAGTCCCTTTAAGTCAAGGTTCGCTTTAACTTCTCTCAAAGAAGAGCTCACCGGAAGTACTTCTGTGAAGAGAGGCGGGAAATTGCCTTTTCATGTTCGCAGCACATCAACTTTACATTATCGCATTATTAGGGCATGTAATCTGAAGTAATTTTCAAATAAACCAGATTAGCATCTTTTATGTTGCCCGTTTTATCATTCAAGTGATCCAAACAAGAATATTCAGGAACTTCGTGTCATCGTTTATCGTCACATGACAGCCATCTTGTGTAACCAAGACAATGACCAGATTTGCATATCTATTCAATTTGTCCCACTGCTGGCTTTTAACAATAAGTAGACACGTAAGAGATGTGTTGGGGCTATTTTTGAAATGTTATATGAACGGCGAAACGGTTTATTATTTAGATGACGTAATGTATATAAATGGACTTGCTGGCATGTATATATTATGTGATTTGGTTATATATGGTTTGTTTTAAACGGTATATCAGTCTTCTGAAATATCATCGGTTCGTCCCCTGTAAATATTCGAAAATTCTCTTTCTTGAAAGGTTTAAACAGTGACGTATTTATGGGGGGTGGGTGGTGCTTATTGCCTCGTCAGCACCTTACGTCGGTCATTTTGTGACGGACATTTGACCTGACACCTCCAATACCACGGTCTTCCGGAGCGAGGGAGAGTTGTACATGATAAAGTCTGCCAATGAGTCAAGTGGCGTTGTTTTGATTCAATCTTGTGCGTGACTTTGTGCTCACATGACTAACCTCGTGAGTTTTTCGCCCCAACCCCCACTACTAAAGACCTAGGGCCTGACAAGGACAGCTGTCTAGACGAAAAACTGAGGTCCCGTGTATACATTGGCGGGCACGTAAAAGATCCCTTGGAAATTGGAATTCAAAATAAGTGTTGGCCGTAGCGCCCTGCCGTCCGCTCAAAATTTCCCTCATTCATTAGCCCAGTCGAAGCAGAACGGCAGGTCGTTAAACCCTATTTTATCTCAGCGATTTAATGGTATCGTATCTTTAAAGTATATTTGAAAAGTTAAAATTATTAAAAGTTGACAACAACTTAATAACGACCATCTTAAAACTTATCACACGTTGTACAACATTGAGATTTCAATTTCCTGACCTGATCGTAAATTTATCGCCAAGTTGAAATAATGTTGAATAATCTCCGGTTGACTCTAGTTTATAAAGCAAGTAATAATAATAAATAAACCCTTATAGGTGTGAAATGTCCACAGATTCGTCTCAACAAGCCACTCGTAACCATCAAATTCTGATTGAATTTGACAAATTGCTACCTATAACTTGCTGATAGCGCGCACCTGTTTGGTGTGACGTAACAGCTCACGGTCAGATACTAGTATTAGTGTTTATATTTTATATCAAGACGGGACGATAGATAAACTATTAATATTCACTTTATATAAATATAAAATGGTCGATTAATAAAGAAGGACCGAAGGGTTTTTACTGATGTTAATAATGGTCGCCAACCATCCAAAACAAGTTACGTGGTCATTCGGGTTGGGGGTGGGGGAGGCTTAGCATTTTACCTGGACAGCGGTATTTTTGTCTACTCTTCTTAAAATTCGGAGTCCCAAGTGATATGCTAAGTACAGTGTCAATTTTTTGACAGGACACCGTTTTTACGTCCAATCCGAACAACTGGACATGCTTTGCTTATCAGCCCAGGCATGTGGGCGGGACAAACAATCCAACTTGGTCTTACACCAATCCGATTAAAATAAACCTATGGTTCGAGGACTGAACCCGGTTAAGATAACGCAGGACTGTTCGAATCCGTTTCCAAATTAGCAGGGGTAACAGCTTTTGGGCAAGTAAGTGAATTTGTCTGGTCGTTCTGACAGAACCAAAATGCCCTTTTCCGTGTATATTTTAGTTGTGCACCTAAAGGGACAGAGGTTAACCTGTCGGAACGATAACGTTCTAATTTAAAGATACCTTGGTAAAATGTAAAACTTGATTTCTGGATCTCAAATGATGAAGTGACGCCGATAGACTCTTTGTAGTTATCTTGTTATCTGAACAATTAATTTATCGGTTAATGGCATTCTCGTCTCCGAATTTAGAATTCTTTGGTACAGTGTCAAACTGCACGCAAAATCAGCGATAATTAAGTATTGGCAATTTTCTATTTACTGGCTGCTTTTCAGCAGCAGTCTTGCTGTCTTATCGGATAACCGGATAACAATAGGGGTTTATTGGGCATATACCGGTCACCCACATGTAACCTTTTGACATAGCTATCGACCTTGGATGACTGACTGGCTGACTGCAGGGGCGTCCATTAATCAACACAAATACAGCGAGAATTTCTAGAATGTTTTAATATATATATATTTATAGGACACATAAAGATTGTGTATGTATACAGAAAGGTATAGGCAAATAGATCTTCGACTGGACTCGTTTTCACATTATGCAAATGAGATACTACATACTTTAAATGGCGATGATTCATTTACATATGATGACGTCATTCATACATGACGTATTCCAGGAACATATAAAGCTAATAATACACGTCCCTGCGTATTTAGATTTTTTTTTTACAAAAAATTAATTATATTATTTTATTTTATTTAAGACATTCTTATCATTAGAATATATTCCGGATGAATTTATTAATTGTAGGCAGCCATGCTTGGTGTATTTATATTCATATTACGATAGAATATTTGTACAGAATAAATAGCTTTGAGAAAAATAAGTATCCGGTTGCAGTATTTTTAACATGTTTTGTTAACAGCGGGTCCTGGCCAATAAATTGCAACATTTTGTTTTCAAGAAATATAATTAAAACAGAATAATAATATATGAAAATCTTTATATTTAACACAAAATTATGACAAATAAAAGAAAAACGAACGACATAAATATTGATTCAATGCAATTTGTCTTTTTTTTTTAAGGAGGTGGGTCGTCTAACTCATCTTCGATAACTAACATTGACAGAATGTTGTAACATAAACAGACCGCTTAACTTATATTTGTTATCAATAGTAACAATCGAGAATGACTTTCGAAAATTCCACGGATTCCACTACATGTATTTCAAAGCTGTAACTTAAATTGAAAATGCAGCGTAGCCCCCACGATTGATAAATCTTTTCAGGAGAAATGCTTATAACCTTTCAGTGATATCCTTGTTATAAATCTTCTCAGGGGAAATGCTTCAAAAAATCTTTTTATAATGTTTCAGTGATAACTTGGTTATGAAGCTGATCCGATTCACTACAATGTGCAATATATGCTTTAATTTTCCAATTTAAGCCAAACATTTGTAATAATATTTACTTTAATCAGCCATTTAATTCCACGTATATGGTAAAACTTAAAGCTAATTACCCTTTTAATGAGACTCTATAGTCCTTCATATTACAAACCAACATGAATTTAGTATACATAATTCGCTATAATTCGTTAGTATACATAATTCTTTAGTACATTTAATAAAACATCGCTCTTGTAATGGTGGGGTAAGTACGAGGCCGGAAATTAAATAATTTGATTGCATACATTATTTGAAAGAAAATCTGAGACATGCTTACATTAATGTCGCTGAACGTCATCTGAGGGATGGTGGAAGCCTTTTTAAATTACAATATTCCATTCAGTCGTTACAAGGATATTTGTCAACATTCGGCATCGTATGCATGCAGACAATATTAACGGGATATGACCAAAAACCAGATCACCTGAAATCTTCTCAAATATCTTTTATTTGGCCTCTTTGAATCCAAACAGGGAGATTATATATTTTGATTGTATTTCCTTAAAGATACATTATGTAAGATTTGGATAATGAGCTGATCGTTCTTGCTATGATAGTTCAAAAATAGATAATGCAAAATGAATATATTGAAAATTTTATGTAATTGCTTTATTCTGAGCCAAGTTATTGATTTTGTAGTTATGTGCATTGATTTTTTATTATCGTAACCACGGTACTGGTATATTCGAAACCTAGACTAGCTCCTCCATTTTTAAATTAAATCATTAAATGGCCGAACCGTTCTAATCTAGTTAACATCTTGAACATCTGATGACATCGAGAGTTGATTATGGTCTCTGGTCATGTTTACAAATGTCTAATTAATAATCAAATAGCATTTAAGGCCTAAAGAAAGACCTACAAAAGTCGAATTTAGCTCTTGAATAATGTATCTTTAATTAAATACTGAAGAACCATTTTAAGTAAATCTTAGCGTGGATTAAGTCGTGGAATTAAAATACATAAAAAATTTCAATTAAATTCCATGCACAACTAATAGATTCAGTCAAATCCTAGTGCATCCAGTAATCACCATATTGTTTCTTAGTTTTTAAGTTCTATTTATTTTAAAATACAACAAGAATTGGACTGATAGTTTTATTAAAACAACACGAAATACGTTTTTATTTTACTGTCTACTTGAAACTAACAACAAATAGATCTATATAGCATATAGCACCCTGAATCAGCGCAAATAATATAACGAATAGGACAATACGAACATAACCGGTTTTGACCATTTCTCGAAAATCGCCCAGTCGTTCCAAGGAGGGGCAATAACACCATGGTAAATATCCATTGACAGTTGGAGATCGAAAGAGGTGCAACCTGTGGGGCCACAGTCGGGCCCATAGCACACCTGTCTTTATAAACTCTGACTATTACCAAGGGTAGCTAACTCTGGCTAACTGTGACAGACCAAGTGGAAGGTCAAGACGCTTACGCCTTAGAAAATAACAACTGAAGGAACCATATGCAGACATGGCCTTCCATTTATATAATTACCCAGTCTACTTAGAAATTTCACCATCGTTTCATGCGATTATTGAATGATATTCAACATGGTATATACAAACATAAATACTGCTCTAAAGGGTTTAATTCTATGGTAAATTTTTAGGAAAAATGCTATTTTTATGTCGTGTGATAAATCAAGAGGGTTTCTTAAAATCAACAGAATATAACGTAAACTTCAAATAGTGATAACTTATGATTGAGTCTATAGTCCTAAATTCTATATCTGACTTTGGGTCTGACACGGTGAATCCTTAAATTGTGAGTAATTAGATAAACAAAATAACTTAATTCCAAAGAAAATATAGCCAAGTATTTGTATTAGAAGACATTATTTCAGATTGAATAGACATATTGTTTTAAACGTATAATGTAGAAAAGTATTATGACGCTAAATAATACAGACAATTAGTAAATCTTTTGGTGAATTTCATGCAAATTTATCTGGTGAAACAAAAATAAATACGTCACACCAATTAACCATGATTTCATTAATTAATTTCATTTAAAATATGGTAGACCAGCACTGCCTACTTAAAAAACCTGATTGTGAATTTCACAAATTCTAGTCTTTTAAACTAAAAGGACTATTTTATACTCCCAGCTTCGCTGAGCAGCAAAGATCTTTACCTTAAAATACTGTAAAAATTATTTGCCTTAATAATTCACAGGCATAATTAATAAAATACATATACACACACACTTGATAATAATTAATGCACAAATCCGTTAGCCATATGATATTGCTGCGGTTCTACAATTACGCTTGTATATCCGGCCTGAGGCATGACGGGATATGTTCTTTGGTTTTGAAGGGCGGTGGTTTGGTACATACCGTTCTGACCGTAATTGTCATAACCACACGCTGCCGCTGCTTTTAAACATTGAGTATAGTCTTGTGAGGAATTGAGAGATTTTTCGTGAAGTAGTCTCATATTAAGCAGTTTATCACCGGCGCTAGTTTCGGAACCGGAAGTAGCACTCAGAATATTTGATTGATTGCTCTCAGTAGAGTTCGTGGATTTTCTCACGTCTGAAGTTAGACTAGCCGATGCGGATGAAGTTGACTTGAGAAAAGCTGAGTTAGTATAGTCACTAGAACCGTTGTTGTTCCTCGCCTCGTTTGAAGAATAAGTATGGTTTGAATGTCGCCTGATTATAACAGACTGTGGCACTGATTCTCTAGGAGGTGATAATGTTTGTAACGGACCATTTGATTGGTCCTGAGATTTATATCCCTCGTCTTTTATTAGTTGCGGAGCACCCTCCAAGATTGATTCATATTTTGAATTTTGGCGATCTGATCTATGAGACTGTCCACTTGGGTGACGTTTTTCGTACTCCTCACTTCCCACATCGACCTCCGATGCCGAAGATTCCGACCGGTTGCTATACGGTGCCTGATAATGTGAGGTATTGTAAGAAGGGTCGCGTGAACTACTCCTAGAACATTGTCCTGTAGACCGGAAGTCGCCATATTGCTGTCCCGCACTTTGAGAACTTTCTCGACTTGATTCGTTATGATTTAATCGAGTTTGCAGAGCAGTCTGAGACGGTATGTAACCCGGATAATTCGCCGGATCACGTGCAGGGTAATAACGTTCCTCGTAAGATCGATAAGCATTACGTTCATCTAGATATCTCTGGTGGGCCGTTTGGTACGGATAAACACAAGCTGCGGCTGCCGCATCGCGATACATGGACATTCCAGCGTGAGCATAGGGCGCAGCAGCATACAGAGCACTGTATCTATCAATACCCTCGGCTGTATGAGGATACATCATACTCGGATAACCTTGCATTGGGACGGACACATCCGCAGGATATTCAAGCGTTCTTTCGGGATATTCCGGCGCGGTATACTCGGTAGTTTCCGGCATCTGTGGATAGGGCGAACGCCTGTTTTTATTTCTAGGTTGCCTAACTTTCCCATTTGATTTCGTTCGATCGTGCATGGACGAAAATGGAGACACTTCCTTTGATGAAAGGGTTTGTTCGAGCTGTATTTGGAGATCCTTTGCCTGAACATCACTGAAAGTATAATATAACACGATGTAGACAATATCTATGATAAAATTTATCGTGAAATTATCTTCTTATATTCACAATAAATATACACCAATTCCACTTAAAACTATTTAAAGGGGTTATTTGAATTAGTTCAGAATAAAGAAAGGAAGTTGTGACGTTCTAAAGGTACAAGCTTTAGCAAGAATTCCTATCCTTTCTGGTGGGATTTCCTTCATTTGTGATATCAGGATCTATAGTAGCGAGTTACCTTTCATTTCATGCCAGGAAAATATAGAGGGTTTCCCTTATGTGTGATGTCAGAAACATAGCGAAGATTTCGATTATTTGTGATGTCAGAAACATAGTAGCCCCCCCCCCCCAATTTCCCCATTTGCAATGCGAGAACATAGCCGGGATTTCCCTTATTTGTGATGTCAGAAATATAGCAAGGAAATCCCTCATTTGTGATCCCAGAAAAAAGGTGGTAATTTTTTCATGTGTGATGTTAGGAATAAAATAGAAATTCCACCAATTTGTGATGTCAAGAACATAGCAGGGATTTTCCTCATTGGTGATGTCAGAAACACAGCAGGGATTCCCCTAATTGGTAATGTAGGGGACATAGCAGGGATTCCCCTCATTAGTGATTCTACTAGAAACACAGTAAGGATGTTAGGAATATAGCGCAATTATAAGTCGTTAATTATAAACATACCTTAAAACATAATTAACACTGACTATGCAATGTGGACGAGACGATCGGCTATTGTGAACTATTGTAGCATAACTCTGCATCCACACCCAGCCACCATCTTTAGCCAGGAATCGATAATATTTAGTGGTTACTTGACCTTTCAGCAGCACTGTAAAATTATAAACAGCATATACATAATTGAGAAGTGGTAAGAGGTGTTCTAAATGAGTAATTGTGAATTATGTGAACTATGGAGTATTCCAGAATGTGTAATTAAGAACTAATTGTGGTATGGGGTGTTTTAGAATGAGTAATTGTGAACTATGGTATGGGGTATTGCAGAATGAGTAATTGTTAACTATGTGAACAATGGTATGGGGTGTTCTAGAATGAGTAATTGTTAACTATGTGAACAATGGTATGAGGTGTTCTAGAATGAGTAATTGTTAACTATGTGAACAATGGTATGAGGTGTTCTAGAATGAGTAATTGTTAACTATGTGAACAATGGTATGGGGTGTTCTAGAGTGAGTAATTGTTAACTATGTAAACTATGGTATCGGGTGTTCCAGAATAAGTAATTGTTAAGATGTGAACTATGGTATGAGGTGTTCCAGAATAAATAATTGTTAACTATGTTAAATATGGTATGATGTGTTCTAGAGAGGGTGACCATACCCGCCCCATGCACAACAAACACCCTGCCCTACTTATAGCCTAAACTGGACGATAAATTTGGGCCTCGCCTCCGATATATCCCTAATCCCTATTTATATTAATCCAGCAATCCCAGCACAAATCCTTTGATAGTTGCTAATACAATCTATTTGACTGGTTACACACCAACACAAACATTGAAGTGTTAACCCTTTAAAACATATGGAGTTATTGAATCCTATATCAGACCCAACATGTCATATTAGGGATTAGTCCCTTATCTTACAGGCAATACATATAATCTCTCTGATACGGACAGACAACTTTAATCCCCAATAATCAAGAGGAAATTTATCAGGGGTCGTAGGTCAACCAATATGTTTATCCCGTGAAATTAATATTGTAACCCTATAAAAATTTATATCTAACGGTACAACCTTTTTAATCCTTACCACTTGCAAAAGAAAGAGGAAAATAAAATAAATAAAAAAACAGTTCCGAGGCGAATGAGGCTATCGAGAGTGACATGGTCAAATAATAACCGGGACTCCCTTCCCCGTAGAACTTTTTTTAAATATTACGTCATTTTATGAGGGACATATTTTCTAGATAATTTACCATTTTGTCGATGACATTCTTTGGATAATTTATTGGTGATATTTTCTAGATAAGCTGTGATTTTTTTTCAATCTGATTAAAATACAGATCTATATTTCGTTTCGGGTTTTTGTTTTGCCTCTATTATATGAAGATCTGACCAGTTGTAGTGGGAAGTCGCGTCAGGGATCATACGAGCGGTTTATGATCCTATGACGTCAGACATTTAATTAACCAATCAACGTTAATGATTCTAGTAGGATGCCCACAATTCCGTGCATCGCACGCCAAGAACTCGCCGCAACAGACCGTTTCATTGGGTAATCCCCCACATCAGCCAGAACGCGGGTTATATAACAATTCTTCCAGATCCTAGTGTAGTAAAGACAAGTAAAACGAAATTTTGAACTATAAAAAACGAAACGAAATAGGATCTATGTTTTAATCAGATTGTGAATTTTTTTAAAAAAATAATTGATGATTTGATTTTCTTGAGAACTATTTCTAAGAATTTTGTAACCTAGATTCTAGATCATATAATTTGATATTAAAACTGTTTCTACTTACAAGTATGATGTGAATATCTCATATGTAGAATATCACAAGCATGTATATAATGATACAGCGTTTTTTCTATCAGGTCTTGTGGTTCATAACCTGTTAAAGCTGCCACCCTGAAAACAGAAACACAACCATAAACATAATTCTACAGATACAATTTATTATTAATCTTTTGGAAAAACGGGGGATTGAATGGCCGAATGGATAGTGCGTGTACGTTGTATCATAAGGTCTGTCATTGAGTCAACTGGCGTGGTTTCGATTCCCCGGTTGTACGTGATAAGGAGTAGGGTCGCCTGTCCAACCTAGTGGGGTTTTTTCCGGGTCCTCCGGTTTCTTCCCGCAGTTAAAGCTCCCCACGCGCAAGCGAATTATTGAAATAAAATTGAACCGTTTTTGAGTACTGAAATGAACTATTTTTTGTCGAGTGAACGTTACCCCCCCCCCCCCCACCCTCTCTCTCCCCCCTTCAGAAAAACATAATTATTATTATATGATATTTATTATTATGTTAATTGCTATTAATGCTCAGTGGCAGTAGATAAGCAAGATGTTAAACCCCATTTCAATTCATTTCATAAATTTTATGATTATGTATATGATATGTTACGAGGAAATAAAGCTTTATTTTTTAAAATACCACAAAGATGTCCCCTATAAAATAATACGTAACTGGAGTCTAATAAATTAATACGTACTTGGCGTCTATTAAAAATAATACGTTTAATAAATAGTACGCATATAGCGTACGTATGTCTAATAGATAATATGTGTATAGCATTTAATAAAATAATATGTACATAACGTCTAATTCCAATAAATAATACGCAACTACCGTCTGATAAAATAATACGCAACTAGCGTCTAATAAGATAATACGCAACTAGCTTCTAATAAAATAATTCGCAACTAGAGTCTACTAAAATAATACGCAACTAGCGTCTAATAAATAAATAATACATACCTAGCGTCTAAGAATATTAATTTGAGATCGAGACTGGCCCTGTACATAAACATATTATTGAACATTTTAATCTCTGTGATGGCACTAGGAGGTAACGAATGACCTACAGCTACCAGCCCAACGTTTTGATAACAGCCATCATACGGTGATACATCCATTGTATACTGTTTTATCTTTAAATAACCACTACAATGTATAACCTGAAATAACCAATCAAACATGTCCATGTAACACTACCAATACGTTCTGGTCTAGACACTAGGCAACGTGCACATACTGGCGTGCACGTAAAAGAACCATTGAATTTGAAGAAATCAGAGGAGCCTGTATGCGCGTCTTCATTCTCCCGGTTGGTGCAGCAAAATGTAGGACGTTAACCCCTATTTAAGTTCTTGTCTTTTCATTATCAATAATTTTGTTTCCATACAGAGTTGATTGTAGTCCCGATTGATCAATCCTTCCAATTGCTTCTTCCGGTACCAAACAGCCAGTGGAGACAATAAATGATCCGGTCTAGAAACCTCATGTTTCAAAGGCAAGTATAATCCGGCAGGTCACAAATGAAATTTTCAGTTGCAGTAAAATTATGTAGTCCAACAACTAACAACAAGTTCCTTAGCTCAAATATTAAGACTGTCTTTCACTGATACACTGATGATCCATATGTAACAATGTACATGTAAGTAGATTGTTTTATGAAAGAATGCGTAAAACCACTACGTGTTTGTCTACAAATTGTGAACCAATAAAGTCAAACTAAATCATTCAATGACAAACTGTGCTTTCTACGCGATTTAAACAACTTTCTTTTATTCACGTCACATAAAACGTGACATTTCCCGCCTTCTGGGGAATTTGGGATATGATAACATGCGCGGTGGTGCTCCTCGGGGCTGACGTCGTCTTGGCAACGAGAAAACGTGTACCTGGTTGTGTTGCGGGGGGAAACCCCCTAAGAAACGATAATTTTACATGCAAAAGACTACGTGCTGATTAGAGACTTACCGGATCGATCTATATGGGTCAGTAGAACGTGTGTATTTTAGATTGGCAGCCCCGAGGATTTTCGGTACTTCTGTCTGATCAGGTAATACGTATGTTCAATCGTAACTTCTCGGTTTTTTCAGTTACTTATTGACCTACCTCACGCTTTTCGGGATGGACATGAGACTCGCCATTTAACGAATGTCTCATTTTATCCCATTTATAAACTTCTATAATAGATAAACCGTGTCTCGTGTCTTATTATGGAATGCTCGATTATTTCCGTCAATTCGTGGTCAACTGTAGGTTTGTTTGTCAATTATTGACATGCGTCTTGGGACAAGATAAACAAAAATTACATAATATATAAAAAATTGCGTTCCTTTGCTGGCTGTAATTCTACGATTTGTCCTTCGGAACAGCCGTCATTTTCTGATCATTTGGTGTATAAACCCATATCCGAGGTCGCGATTTAAACACCAAAAAGAGTTTGACAATCAAAACAACAAAATAAGCTTTAAAAAGTCAACAAACCTTATATCCTCCAGATGTGAGACCAGCATTTCTTTTAGCAAGAACACATTTCATTCTGAGGAAAAATGATCGTTCAACCTCGATATCTGTAATATAAAAACAAGATGGTGGTTTAATGTTTATGTGAAATATTCTCCTTGAAACTCTACGGGGAACGTATAAGGATCACATTCAAAAGTAAAACTGTCGATTTGAAAGAAGTATCACCATTAGATATTTAAAATGTCAGGACCTTTGATTAAGCCACTCGCATGTAATGGCAATGAAACCGAAAGTAGTATCTAGTAAACAAACCGACCTCCGCTTAAAACGTAATAAGTCTGCACCCTACTGATTGGATTGTGAGACTGGAGACATAATTTGTTGAATTGGTCTTCTAAAAAATGGGTATGACGTAGAACTGAAGACTTGCCTTGTAATATTTGAGTATAATAAGGACAGTCAGTAAGTGTTACGGTAATAGGGGGTTGTAAACAGACTTGCCTTAAGTGTGATAGTGTGGGGGAGATGGGGTGGTAAGGGGATAGCGTGAAACTGAGGAGAAATGAAACGAAACGAAGGGGGACTTAACGTACCGTGTAATTAAGAGTATCGGGCGCGGTCCGGGAGACGGTTCGGGTTAGTAGGTGCCGGGGTCTTAACGTCACAAGAGAGTGGTGATGCGTGTCTTAACATTTCTTGTAATATATGAGTCCAGGGAGGGCTGGTGGTGGCATGGGGGTCTTAGCGTGACGAGGGATGGATGGGCGTGTCTCAAAGTACATTGTATGAGTATGGGGGGGGGGGGCTAATAGGGACCGGGGGTCTTAACGTGACAAGAGAGAGGTGACGCGTGTCTTAACATTTCTTGTAATATATGAGCCTGGGGTCGGGTGAGGGTTGGTGGTGGCAGTGGGTCTTAACATGACGAGGGGATGGGTGGCTTTGTCTTAACGTACCTTGTATGAGCTGGTGGTGGAAGGGTTTTTTTTAACGTACCTTGTAATATATGAGTATGATAAGGATGATGTATTGTTAATAACGCCGTCATTTCATCATGATCTGCCGGGTGAATATATTCATATATACTGTTTCCTGTTAATTCAACCTAAAATATATAATATATATATATATACTAAATATACACTTCATATCATAGTCTAGTTGGGTTAATATATATTACATGTCACAGTCTACCTGGATAAATATATTCTTACATATCGTAGTCTAAATAGATTAATATATAAATACTATAGTCTCTAAATAGATTAATACATAAACATTCTTATATATCATAGTTCAGAATTTTATTAAACTTTGGTTATATTGGTATAATTATAATTATACATAAGCATCGAAAAAAAAAAGAATGGAAATGGTATTTTTAGTCGGTTTTGGGATAATATTCTGAGCGACAATACTAAAATTTGTAAACAAACTGATTTCCAATTATCATTTCGAAATGAAGCTGTAATCATTTCCTTTAAAGATGCATTATGTAAGATTTAGATAAAGAGCTGTCTGTTCTTGCTATAATAGTTTCAAAATAGATAACTCAAATTTAATATATTGAACATTTCTTTCAAATTCTTTTATTCTACTAAGCGACGTTATCGCTGTTTGAATGTTTGACTTAGATCGTTTATTATCGCAGCAACGTTACTTGTTAATCGAGACTCAGCCCTGCTTCTCCATTTTTACATTAAATCATTAACTGTAATCTGCGCCATCTGATTTTCTGGAGAGTTGATTATTGGCTTGTCATTTGAATAAATGTCTAAATAATAATTTATGTATTATTTGAAGCCAAAATAGATGCCGGCAATAGGCAGATTTAGCTTTTACATAATGCATATTTAATCTTATCACAGGAACACATCAGGTCAGCCTAACTCAATACTTTATTTTGACTTGAATGAGTACAACTATGTGCACTCCTCAACGAAGATATGATATCGTTTATTGACTTAAATAAAAGAGACTAAACTTACCTGAGAGAGTCCTAAATGGACTGACGCTGTTTCAGATATATACATCACTTTACCATCTGGAGCAATCACAAATATAAAACCATCTAAAGTCTAAAATAAAACAAGAAATAACAAATATGAAGCCAACTAGAGTCTAAAATAAAACAAGAAATAACAAATATAAAACCATCTAAAGTCTAAAATAAAACAAGAAATAACAAATATGAAGCCAACTAGAGTCTAAAATAAAACAAGAAATAACAAATATAAAGGCATCTAAAGTCTAACATAAAACAAGAAGTAACAAATATAAAGCCAACTAGAGTCTAAAATAAAACAAGAAATAACAAATAAAAAAACATCTAAAGTCCAAAATAAAAACAAGAAACAACAAATATAAATCCAGCTAAAGTCTAAAATAAAACAAAAAATCATCTACCATCTACAGTCTAAAGTAAAACAAGAAACAGTTTATAAAACCATCTAAAGTCTCAAATAAAACAATAATTTGTTTTATAAATAATAAGGAGAATAACTAATACAAAGTAACATGTATGTTATTTTACAATTAAAATAACTGAAAATAGTACAACCAAACGGTAGTTAAGTTAACGTTTGAAGTGGTATCAAATGTTCTAGACAGTGGGATATAGTGGGGTATAATTTGGACCTGGATTTCAGAAGCCGGAGCTCATGAAGTTAGGACCATCGACCCTAAACTTTAATTACATTTTATCTCCATGAATACAAAGTGACAATTAAAATAAGTGTAACAGTATGTGGTGTCCTCTTGTTAGTGGTGCTGTGTCAGCATTTAGTCATTTGGGTGGTACGAAAACCCGACGTGTACACGTAACTGAAATCTTGATAGAAACACCACTGCGTATTTTTATTACAACATTTCCTTTATAGTACACTGTATGGCGCCTGAGACATACTGGTTATAGAGCCAGCACCTGACTTACTCGGCCAACTCTGCGTATTTTTATTATAAAATTTGAATCTCTAATAGAAATGTTTTGAATAAGATTAAAATCACATCGGAAGATTATCCACCGTTTATACCGATTTTTGTTTTCTGAATTAAATGTACATATTTGCGTGGATTAAGCCGTGCGAAATTTGATATTTTCCTAAAAAAATAAATGACGCATAGTGACTTTAATTTTATTATACATTTATAAATCGCATAATTCATTAAATATGCTAAATTAACTAAACTGAAATATCAATATTATGAATTTTATCCGATTGTGATGATAATTTAATCCGAGCCGAGGAAGCAATGGTGATTAGACGATGACTAAACGATTAGGTTCATTTGGACTAATCCTGTTACAGCCGATTATAGATAGGAATGATCATCCGGCCACTCCAAAATATTTAACGACATTTAGTTCTTGAGTCAATCGATCCCCGTCTACTTCAGTGTTAAAGAACAAATAGCTAAGGAAAAGAGTCATGAATAGATAATTTTCTAAACTCTGTAATTCGTCAAGAATACGAAGACATGGGATGCCAAGTCACGTATCGGTTGGTCTGTCTTTATTACGATAAACTACTGTCAAGCATTGTCCGCGACATGATCACGTGTGACCTCAGAGGTCATTTGGTAGCTCTTTGATTCAAACCTGGGGTGATTAATGATATCAAAGTATAAGAGAAAGGCAAACAGATTTTAAATTATTATATCTTCAAATAACGAGATTGTTTGTGGTAATTCGGGCCCAGTATTGACAGCCTCCTGCATAATCTCTAACCCTTGATTGACATTTTCAATGAGTTCCGTCCAATACCTAATATAGCTGTCCGCGATAAATGTTTATCTCCTTGCCCACATAACAAGGATATTCCTCAAATCCGACAGCCTACTTCACTCTCATCTGACCTAAAGATGAGAAAAAAAGCGAGCAGGTTGGATTCTGCGATCGGATTACGTGACTGCGCATGTTATTAAGCGATTTGACGTCATATTACATTGTTGTTTAAAGTTTTAACAAGGCTTCGACGCTTAATGTTTCTCTCTTTTTACGTAATTAATTCCAGCCTAAGTTTTTCATCATTAAAACTTTTCGCCTGACGAAGATAATTAAATTAAAACACAATAAAATCAATCGTTCATCGCGCTCAAATTTGTAAATATTTGTTTAAATTAAAATCTTATAGATTTGAGATTGACGGCAACCATTTACGTTTCTAGCATTTGTTCCAAATAGACGGAGTTTTGAGTGAATGTGTTCCGTGTTCTGGCCAATGCAGTGAAATGGTGTAGGTTTCTTTGCTTTGTTTTTTGTATTTTTGTGTGTGTGGATTTTTTTTTTTGGGGGGGGGGGCGAGGGGGCGTTTTGGCTTTGTAGCCTTTAGGTGTTATTTTGTTGGGATTATTTGGAGTTGTTTTGCTTGGGGTTATATTATTTAGTTTTACAAAATTGTTATTGTTACCTATGATGCTTTTCTAAGTTTTCAGAATTGTATTCAACTGTCGAATTTTAATTAAAATCATATCTAGCAGTAAATAGTACTATATTATTCAAAACCTAACTTATTCTATTACTAAGTTACAAAGTCTTCGCCATTTTTCGTGGCGGGGTGTTGATGTAATATTCAAACAAAGTTACATTTATCTTGACTGTTAGAAAAAGGCGATTCAAATTATAACAAAGCTGGATTATGACACCGAAAGTAGATGCCAATTCTAATAAAGACAAGAAATTTCGCTCTATTTTAATTAAAATGTTTAAAACATAATTATATCTGTTGAATAAATCGTTTGACAAAAGCTGGTTGTGTTGGTTGTTAGAAAGGATCGATTCGTATTTTCTATTTCTTTTTTTTTATTTTAGTAAAACTTTATTTTGTTACTGAATGTGGATGCCAAATCAAATACCATTAATAGGGAAAAAGAAAAACACCCTATTTCAATTCAAAACATCATTTTTATAAACTTAATCATATTTATAAAAATATTTGTTTTTACTGAATAAAGCACGTTGGTTGGTTGTTTTGGTTGTTAGAAAAGGGCGATCTTCTATTTTTTTTCAGTAAAACTCTATTTTGTCACCGGGAGGAGATGCCAGGTCTAACACAACCACACTATTTTAATTCTAAACATTGATTTATTAAAACATAATTATATTTATGAAAATATATGTTTACATTGAATAAAGCGCGTGAGAAATGTTGAAATACGATCCTTAACAATATTATTCTGTCTATAGTCCCAAGGTTTGTTATTTAGTTACAACGAATACAGAAATCAATTGTTCATGAATATGTATGAAGTGTTAATTGATATATCTAATGCATATTCATGAATAACTTACCTGAAGTAAATGAGACCCGAGTTCTTTTTCTAGACGAGTTCTTGGCGGTGTTCTGTGTCCCCACGCATCTCCCAAACCTGAAAGGAAAACAAACAAAATAAAAATTACACATTTATTTTAGTTCCAAATAAAACTATCATTAGTTTAAATTATTGTTAATTTATTAATTAGACAATTATAAGGATTTATAAAAATTATATTAGTAATCGAGACAGGTTTGGAAAGGTTTTGTTATGTAATTCATGTCGTATGTTTGAATAATTACATATGTTCAAGATACATTATGTAAGAGCTAAATTTACCAGTTGCTTGTCTTTTGTCTGATTTCAAATGTTATTTAAATAATTATTAAGACTTTTGTTCACATGATAAGCCCATAATCAACTCTCTAGACTATCGGTAGGCTTGTATATTAATTGGATTAGACTATCCACGGCATTTAATTTCTTAGTGTGGTATATAAATACATATTATGTTTTTTATGGATAGAGCGCTGATTCATTATATATAATTATCCTATTTAGATAGTACTCTATACACATGTAATACATATCATGTTCTCAATGGATAGAACGCTGATTCATTAATTAACATATGATTAATATAATTATTCTATTTACATAATACATATTCATATATATGTGCTTATTACTTATGTTAATTTATTTTATTTATTTAATAAGTGTCCTGTCGAAGGAAAATGGGATTTTATTGCACATTTTAAAAGGTTCAGTTATTATATCATTTCTAATATTAAAACCGTAAGTAATATACTATTGATAGAAAAACAACTACTTTAAGGGTTACCAAATGAAGATGATTAATATCCATCGTGGTCTGAATCCTATATGGGGGTGAGGGGGCTTCGTGTATTGACAAAATTAACTATTTTAACTTCTACAAATAACCGAAAAGTGTTATGAGGTGTTACATCATAATCTGGTTATATGAGAGTGTATGAGCTGTATATCAATATTAATGCCAATCACCTATTATAACTTTTACAAACAACCGAGAAGTGTTATGTGGTGTTACATCAGAATCTGGTTATATGGGAGTATATGAATGTATATCAATATTAATGTCAACCAACACCTTTAACTTTTACAGATAACCGAGAAGTGTTATGCGGTGTTACAATATAATCTGGTTAAATGGGAGTATTGTATATCAATATTAATGCCAATCAACTGCTTTAACGTTTACAAATAACTGTGAAGTGGTATCAGGTGTTACATCATAAACTGGAAGATTAATATATGGGAGTGTGAGTGTTGTATATCAGTATAAATGTATAGTGCGGAAAGGAATGCTGTTAGATAAAGTTTTAAAAAAAACATGGTCTATTAAAACGTCTGACATGTTGTTTATGATAGAAATATGTAAGTGAAATGAAATGGGGTTTGACGTCTTATTTTTCTGCACCGATTTGTTTAATGAAAACGGGCTTACGCCATGCAGTGTGCTGTGATGGAAATTTGCCAGGACAGCGGCGCTAAGGCCTACTCACGCAAATGTGTACACGGCACCTCGGTTTTTGGTACCATCCGAACGACTAGACACTGTCCTCGTTATGTTCTCAGAAAGGTAGCGCAGGGATCCATTAGATCAAATAGGTTCAGTTGGCATAAGACCGGCACTGCGTGGGGAATAAATAGTAGGCTGTATTTTGTTTTATCAAGTAGTTCTCAAAGCTGACAACTTCAATTGTACTTTTATAATTAAATCGATATTCCATAAATCTCAATATAAAAAAAAACCCAAACCCCGCCCCCAAAACATCAATATTATTCGTCACATTCTAAGATCTATTGGTCTATGTTAACATATTTTGCTGTACAAATATTATTTTTAATTTTAAACAGTCTTCGATGCATACTACAGCTATATAAACAAATTTGTAAAAGGGCATGGGTGGAGAAGAACCAAACGACCCATACACCAATCAATGTGATAACATACTCTTCGTAGTGTTTCGTTTGGTTTATACCAGACACATAGTAGAAAAACGAATTCTAGAATTTTGCGGGGGTTAATGTGCTACAATCACCAGACAGTCTGTGTGTACTTTTTCAAATTGATTCAATTAATTAAACAGTTCATTCACAGAACAATTGACGATTCAGACGATCAAATTTTAATTACCAAATCTGCATGACACTTGACTAATATTATGAATTTACGACTATCGAATTTCGGTACGGACACGACCGTATTACGACACTGATTAGAATAACCATATAAGGGAATTGTTATCTTATCGACTGGATTACAAGAGAAATCAACCGTCAAATTAGACATTTGTTGACCTGAGCCCACTTTGATCAACCGGTTGGTTTATTAAATGTATTTGCAGCTGGGAACTTTTGTAAAAGGATTTCTTTTCTCACCCTCTCCAAATTTTTATCTTGAACACTTTGTTGAAAGATGAAAAGGCCAGAAATCAGATACACGTTGCTCGACTAGATCGGCAGAAAATTTATTGGCGCGATTTCAGAGGTTATCGCCTGCCTCATCGTAAAACACCGTTCAGCAGACGAAGCAAGATGGCGGAAGACCTCCATGTTCCGAATGCCCCCTCCTATCTTCAATCTGAGTTTATGTTCGTTCTGGGCGAGAAGGCGATCAATCTCTCATGGAAGTACTTGGTTAAATGAGTTTTTTATTGTTCAGTTAGCACTCGCTCCTTATCATCGTCTTTAAAAACTATCGGTAAAAGTAAACGAAACTCAACGATACAAGACTTCATTGATAACCTTTCGGCTTCCAGAAAATATGACTGACAGAGAATACTTAAATACCCGGCACTTGTATACTTACCAATTAATCCTAGTTGTTTGTTTCATAAACTAACGTTTAATATAGCCCCCAGGCCTGTATACCTATTCCCACCAGGGGTTTTCAGTGTTTAATTTTAAATAAATTATAACAAATACTTATGGAAGAATAATTACTAATTCATTCAAAAAGTATTTTTTACTGCAAAAATATTAATTATGACCTTCTACACGTTACAACGGTTTCAATATTTAATGTTAAATATAATATAACACAATTACTAATTTTTTTGTGCGACATTACGAAGATTATGATGTTTTTATTTTACAGGATTTAAAACCTAATCACAATTTTTTGTATTTGTTCATCCACGTAACAAGGAGTAAGGTCGCTCGTCTATCCTCTTTGGTATTCTCAGGTTTCCCCCTACTGCTAAAAATCCCAAGTGAATTATTGAAATAAAATTGAACCATTTAAGTCCCGAAATGTCTAGTAGACGTTAAACCACCCCCACCCCACCCCCTCTCTCTCTCTCTCTCTCTCTCACACAATGATTTTGAGACTAACATATGGTATTTTAGCCGAGAAATATTGACATACCGTCGTGTGAGCTAGAGAGTACATCAAGATAATATAAACAGCTAGTAATATACACTCCAATATTTCAATCTTATTTCTCTGTTTATTTTACAGCCTTTTATCGACTGGTCTTCTATACGATGTTGACTCAGTCTTTATCTATCACATTTCTTGCCTAGTAAAGATGTATAACTTGGTCAGATGGCAGGAAAAACCCGCAACAAAATATAGTTATATGTATACAGGACATAGATTTAAGACAATTCTGAAAGGACGGTAGAACTATCAGTGGTTCGAGAAGAACACAATGAGACAAGAAAAGTTGGAAACAACGGATTTCATGATTTAAGACTTGATTTGACTATCGTTGGTAAAATAAAAATATATCAACATTTATAAAGGGCATACACATAAAATTTTAAAAGTTTCTAATGCGTTGCTCGTTTCAGAGTTCTTACTAATTATTTCTTTCACAATGGATTTAGGAACAGAAATTTGTTGAGCTGGTATATTTTTTCTGGAATTTTGAAAACCATAATTCTAGAGGAAGTCGATTCCATAAATATGATGCAGTATACGACAAATCTCCAGGTGAACAAGAGATGGTTCAATTTTATTTCAATAATTCGCTTGCGCTTAGGGGTCGTTAGCAGTGGGAGAAAACCCACGAGGTTGGACAGGAGATCCTACCCCTCATCACATACAATCGTGGAATCGAAACAACGCCAGTTGATTCAATGACAGACCTTCTGATACAGCGCACACGCGCTAACTATTCGGCCATACCCCCCCCCCACCCCAGGTGAACAAAATAAATATAGAAAGTAAATAAGAACAACAGGTGTTAAACTATTTGTTTATTTGATTAGTGATTAGAGGAGAATATTTGAAGATCAAGGGTCCTTCTAATCATCTAGGTAAATCTTGTCATATCAAATTCTAGGCGTAGTCTTTAATATCTAAATTACTTCCAATCTCTCATGTAATGTATACACACCGGGTCGATTGTTGGATTGCTATCTTAACTATAGTCTTAGTTTTTGAATTCTTTAATTCATGGGGGCCGCGGTGGCTCAGTGATTTAGACCTGACAAGGACAGTGTTTAGTCGTCTGGATGTGACGAAAACCCGAGGTCCTGAGTACACATAGGCGTGCACGTGAAATAACCCCAGACAGTTTGAATTCGAAGGATGCCCGATCAAAATTTCCCTCATGGTGCAGAAAAGTAGGACGTTAAACCCCATTTTATTTCCTTTTTGAAAGACTATATCATCATACGTGCTTGAAAACACAATGCAATTTGAATGTTGAATGTAATACAACATTTAATACCTCGGCTGATCGAGTGTTTGATTATAATTAGTGAATAAAGTACTGGATAATCCGGTCCATTTTACTGTTTCCATGGTTATAGTTACATCATAGTTTATCCACGTGTGTAATTTATAGTCAACATACGATTAGAACATCTCCAGATCAGGTATCAACCATCTTTGTTTTCCCTATATAATAGTTCCCTCTGTGTGCTCCTCACTACCATTGTCCGCTCCAAGATTTTGAAATACTATTTAGTTTATTTTGACGATCAATTACACCTTAAATTGTCTCGCAAATGCGCGTCTACTGGGTCAGATCTGACAAACATTTTCAAATTTTAACGCTGTATGCGAAATACGATGCTTAATTTACGAGATGATCGGGAAATGTTTGAACAAGGGC